ATGTGTAGTCTTATAAAGCGTTTGATACGCGCGACATTTATAAGTACTCCTGTAAGCGATGTTCATGAACGATGAAAACAAACGCCACGGACAAGCGATTAAAATTGCAAGAGAGACTACTAACAATCAATAAAAGAAATATAATTCGGTGAAACATTTACAGAGACAACAATTTTCATTCGCGAAGACAAGTATTAACGGGTCTCTAAAAATCCTGAGTCTTTTTAACAGCTTAAGGTTAAGTTTATTTTGTTTTACTTCTTCAGCCGGCCTCCCGGTGTTTGCTTTTTCAACGATGAACTCCTCGAAGCAAGAAAATCGCTCAAAGTTTTCTTTCTACAGCGAAATTTATAACTAAATATTCTTCCGAACGTTTTCTTATTTGCCGTAAAAAAATATATCTGAAGGCCTTTTAAAGTTCTGTAAGCTTATATCAAACCTGATACTAGGTCAGATCATTGACTCAAATCTTACAAACGTGCAAAAACTTGCCACATAAACTGTGCTCGACTTCATAAAATTAAATATAACAAAAACAAACATCACATACAATAATTACTCAGGCGTACCATTCGAGATTCAGTTCCTGAAAGATATCAAGGAAGGCCACAGCTGCTTGAGACTTTTAAACCCTCTTACGCATTAAGCAAGGTGAAAAACAAAAACGATGCCATCCGAAATTTGACAAGCGACGCATTTCTCAACCAAAAACCCAATAAACAAACCAGCCATGGGTAACAGAAGACTCTTGTTAGTAGCTGTATTTCATTTTGTACATCCAGTGGAAAAAGACAGTTAAAAAAAATCACAAGTTGACACAAAACTCTGTCAGCTTCAGCTGTCAAAGTAAACAACTTTCAAGATGCTGTATGAATTTTCCGCATGAACTCACCTTTCAAATTTTGACCAATCAGAGTACAAAAATTGGACATAGAGCGTGACCAACGCGTGACCATGGTAAGAAAAGGTCTTCCCGCCTGTATTTTTAAAAAGCTGGCTGAATTTTCGCGTCTGAGGTGAGTTTGAAATCAAAAACTTGACAGTGCGGGGCCAAAGTGACAAAAACACAACACATTTCGTATGAATCATGGGAAAAAATAGACTTGAACCTGCGATTATTTGAAACTATTAATTTGTCAGCGGATAACTTCAAAAAAGTACTCAACTTCGATGGGTCGACACTTGAGCCCGCGGTACGGTCAGGTGATACTGGTCTGCGGATATCCTGTTTTGACAGCTGTCAATTGATCACAACATTGATGTGCAATTAGCCTTTCTCTTGAGCTCCCAAACTAGCTAGAAAGTGTGAGAGTAAACATTGGTTCCCCTGTGGTGCGGACGGACGGTCGGGCGTACGGTCTTGTGATTACCAAATCTTCTCGGATGGGTAGATTACCACATTTCCTTTAGCCTGCATGACAGGCGCTTTATGAGCCAAGCGGGGCGAACGCGATATTTCGCGCGGAGCGCGACACGAGCGCGAAGCGCGAGACGAGGGACAGATATTTTTCTCTTTCCCTCGTCTCGCGCTTCGCGCTCGTGTCGCGCTCCGCGCGAAATATCGCGTTCGCCCCGCTTGGCTCATAAAGCGCCTGTCATGCAGGCTAAAGGAAATGTGGTAATCTACCCATCCGAGAAGATTTGGTAATCACAAGACCGTACGCCCGACCGTCCGTCCGCACCACAGGGGAACCAATGTTTACTCTCACACTTTCTAGCTAGTTTNGAAAAGTTCCGGGTTGGAAGGGAGCCACAACTGTTAAAGAGGTGGATTATGCCTGCGCTGTTTGCTTTAAAAATTTCTTTTTGGTCGCTCGGTATGAGGGGATATCGAGTATGGAAATACATCACCTACACTTTGCTTTTCATGGTTTGTGCTTACTATATATTTTTCAAGGCATACTGTGATCCATTACAATCGTGCCCTTTACGCAAAATGCATCCGGAAAAGCAAACACTTTACCACGCATATCAAGTTGCCTACATTTCCAATGCCATATTGGCTACGGCTTCTATCCTGTCGTGTTTGGCGTTTATTCGTTGTTGTATGGTAGGCAAGCGCCAAAAGTCGGCTTTGATGTGTCCGTCTGAATTTATGATAAAAAAAATCGATCAAGTCAACTTATTCAGGTTATTTCTGGCATTCTTCATTATGATCGTGTTGTTAACAACCTCAATGATCTTGACATCCCTTACGGAAAAGACTTCTGTCATCAATTGGGTACCCGAGAGATTTTATGGAGTAATGGTGACTGAACATGTGTCACATAACTTCACAAACTCAGCATGTAAAATTCGGCTTTCAGCTGGGCCTAACGTTACACGGCTTTGCAAGGTTATTGCTTCCGAAGACTCTACACAGTTCTTCTTACATTTTATCTCCCTAAACATTTGTCACATCTTTGCCGCTGTTTGCATGGTACTCGGTAAGTTAACCTATTCAATCTTTTTGAAAAACAGTAGATTGTTTATTCCCAATTCTTAGCGGAGCTCCACCCGCGTGCGAAGCGCGCGCATGGACCGAGCCCCATACCTAAGGAAATGTAGCCTGCATGACAGGCGCTTTATGAGCCAAGCGGGGCGAACGCGATATTTCGCGCGGAGCGCGACACGAGCGCGAAGCGCGAGACGAGGGACAGATATTTTTCTCTTTCCCTCGTCTCGCGCTTCGCGCTCGTGTCGCGCTCCGCGCGAAATATCGCGTTCGCCCCGCTTGGCTCATAAAGCGCCTGTCATGCAGGCTACATTTCCTTAGGTATGGGGCTCGGTCCATGCGCGCGCTTCGCACGCGGGTGGAGCTCCGCTAAGAATTGGGAATAAACAATCTACTGTTTTTCAAAAAGATTGAATAGGTTAACTTACCGAGTACCATGCAAACAGCGGCAAAGATGTGACAAATGTTTAGGGAGATAAAATGTAAGAAGAACTGTGTAGAGTCTTCGGAAGCAATAACCTTGCAAAGCCGTGTAACGTTAGGCCCAGCTGAAAGCCGAATTTTACATGCTGAGTTTGTGAAGTTATGTGACACATGTTCAGTCACCATTACTCCATAAAATCTCTCGGGTACCCAATTGATGACAGAAGTCTTTTCCGTAAGGGATGTCAAGATCATTGAGGTTGTTAACAACACGATCATAATGAAGAATGCCAGAAATAACCTGAATAAGTTGACTTGATCGATTTTTTTTATCATAAATTCAGACGGACACATCAAAGCCGACTTTTGGCGCTTGCCTACCATACAACAACGAATAAACGCCAAACACGACAGGATAGAAGCCGTAGCCAATATGGCATTGGAAATGTAGGCAACTTGATATGCGTGGTAAAGTGTTTGCTTTTCCGGATGCATTTTGCGTAAAGGGCACGATTGTAATGGATCACAGTATGCCTTGAAAAATATATAGTAAGCACAAACCATGAAAAGCAAAGTGTAGGTGATGTATTTCCATACTCGATATCCCCTCATACCGAGCGACCAAAAAGAAATTTTTAAAGCAAACAGCGCAGGCATAATCCACCTCTTTAACAGTTGTGGCTCCCTTCCAACCCGGAACTTTTCGTACGGCGCTGCTGGTGGTGTGGGTGGAAGAAGCCGTTCTGTTTCCCTATCAGCCGGTTCATTATAAATTTCAATTTCTCTACCAAGGCCTTCTTGTTCCATCTTGATCCTTTACTTGTCAAATGCGCTGATTCTTCTGTGTGGAACGACACTGAGGTGATTCTTGAATTAGCTGGAATCAAATCATGTGATTTTTGCATGTGACAACATGTCACATGCAAAAAAGCCCGGTCTGAATAGGGTTAAAATAATAGGCTAGGGGGAGGCTCAGCGAGGAATAACCGAGTCTGGTAAGCTAAGGAGACTATGATGGAGATTACTAGACGACCCCAAGAGCCATAATGTCCCATTATGTTGACGACCCTCTCTAAACAATGTTTCCCCTGTTTGAGTTCTGCTTTCCGTCTCTTTTTCATTTTCCTTTTTTTTACTCACTCCGTTGTCCCACTCGCGCCTCTCTAAAGCCCCGTGCAAACGGACGCAACATTGTTGACGTTACATGTTACGTCCGTTTTCACACGCTGTTGTATGTTGTTGGATGTTAATTGTCGCATGTTGTTGCTCAAAGTTTGAAACCGGTCAAACTTTTAAGCCAACAACTCCCAACATTTCTTTTGTTCCGTAATCGCCGAAGCGTAGCGCAACAATGTTGGATCCGTTTGCACAGCTCTTCTAACATTGTTGGGGCCACGCACGCTCATTACGCATAGTTTACAAAGACTTATGGGTTGTATCCTTCCCACAATGCACTGTAGGTCCCAACATTGTTGGGAGTTGTTGCCGCACCACTGTCAACACGCACCCATAACTCCCAACATTGTTGGCGCAACAATGTTGGGAGTTGCTGCGTCCGTTTTCACGCAGCCTAATACCTTAATTAGGACCTCGGATAAGAACGAATCTGAAAGTGAAAGGGAATCTTGCTAAGGTTAGCCGTGCTAATCGAGTACTTAAATGTAATAGCCCGTGGAGTCTCCCAAGGTATTACATTATTCTCTCGAGTGTCCTTTATTTCCAAAAAGTGGGTGCATTTTAATACCTGGAACAC